ATAACCAGATGTTTCAGCAATTTTAGAAAAATCTAAAATTAAAGTTTGAACTTTTAATCTTTCTAAAAAAGTCGAAAACTAAAAGTGCAAATCCGTAAAAATCATATTCATTTATATTTATATTAATTTACCTTTAGATAATAGCCATATTGGATCATTTTAAATTCTTGAAATCTGACTTTAGATTTGTAATTATTGATCAAGAGAAATGCAAGATTTCAGAGGAATCCGTCAGGTAGAAAAAATATGCTTCTCAAAGGGTTAATGCTGTTTTATTATTTTAGGACCATAAAAATTGTAATAATTATTAATACTATAATTTAAAACTTATATAGAAATGGGGAATATATTAATTAGATCTTATTAGAAAAACAAATATAATTAATCCAATTTTCCAATATATTACATTCTTAATATTTATTATTTATGGAAATGAGGATTAATCTGTATAATTTTCAATTTCATTTGTTCATGTTAAAATAATTCGTATTAATGCGTCAAAGTTTTCACATTCAACTGGAAAAAGTTTTATAAAATTTCAAAAACAATCGTGATGTCTATTTTTTCTCTCAAATATTTACAATTAATAAAATTCTTTTTTTAAAATCTCCAACTTGTTTCCTGTGTAATAACCGATAATTCAATAATGAGATTACATTGGAATATGTACTCAAAACTTGTCGCAGCCAAAATATTGGTAATTGCAGCGAATAAAGAGAATATTGCGGTCTACCAAGCACAATCAATAATTGAATGACTGTAATAATGAATACGCTATGCTCAAGATTTTCTGGTGCAAACGATGACAATTTGCTAAAAAATGAGATCCCAATATATTGATGCTTGTGTTTCTACCATTTGATGTATCAAAAAATTTTGTATTTTACTGATACGTATTTTTACGCCGTGTTGCGTTTATTCAATTCTGCGAATCAATTTATTTTTTTCGTTTTTTTGAACGTTCTTCATACATTATTCAAAAAAATTTTGTAAATTTAATTTCAGACAATATTCGAAGTGATTCTTTCGATTATTTACAATGTATTTTTTTTATTGCTACTTCTTCTTTTGTAATAGAAATTTAGGAATATATAAATATCGAAATTCAGAGATGGATCGATTTTAGGTCATACATTATATTAGTATGATATTTACAAAATATTCTTTTTTTGCAGACGATTTTTATCTCGGAAAGTGAGGAAAGATTCTAGACGGCAGAAATGAGAACACGCGACTCTGCCGGACAGAAAAAGAGTTCGTACTTGTTTTCGTAGTAGAGCAAGAACTCAGACGCGCTTTTTTTACAAAACGACAACGGCCTTGAAAGTATCGTGTAAATTCGAATTTATTTACACGATATTTTTATTTATTTATTCGACTAATCATGTTGAAAGTTATTATTATGATTCTTGCTTGTCCATTACGGCAGGAGAATTGGTAATTAAGAAATTCGTTGCATATATTATATATAACATAGGTAATATTTCCTAATAAAAAATATTTTTAATTTATATCAAATTTTTCGGCCATTATCAAGCTATATTTTTGTTCTTTTTTTTTAACCACACATAATCACACAGAACTAAATATATATTTCATAGTTGTTATTCGCAATTCATCATTTCCTCGGATACATCTAGTCTAATATTTATTTTAACTCACATTTTCCACGCGACAATGGATGTGACAAATGGATTTTCCGTAACGCGGATGTATTCCAATCAGTCTGACGACGTAATGGGAGACACGCGATGCAAATTTACGATAAGATTCCGTTATTTTCGCGAGGCAAACGTGTGTCGAATGCGCATCGCAACGAGTTGAATCCTCGGAGACAAAACCGCGAAACTGAATCTCCACTCGATGATTTCGTGGGAGTTGGGCGACCGTGCTTAAGTTCGCGCGCATTCAACCCCGAGCCCAGAGTGCATAACGTCGGCTAGAATATTATCCGAAGAAGTAGGACGACCGGAAGTAGCGTCGCGGCCATTCTGTCGCCTCTACCGTGATGCATTGCCGCTGGGTGTTCTTCTGAAACAAACGCTACGCTATAATGCCGTTTCGCTCGGTCGGCTCTTAGCAGGTGGTATTTAGAACGACGTTTCCGCGAAGCTGAGCGCGAGCTCTTGCTTTGGGCGAAAAGGCCTTACTTGACGTTTACAAACTAAGCATTTTTGTCGAGTTTAGTTTACACCTTTTTCTGTAAACTGAAAAAGGTATTTGACAAACCATACAGAAAGGACGGTTTTGCTGAAGTATCTAAAAATTTTTTCTAAATCTACAGATCTGAAAATGATTTTGTTGGGCCATCGAAATAATTATATAGGATTATTGGTTGCTAGAATATCAAAGTTTTTGCAGTATTGCTCATCATACTTGAGATTCTTACCTAATTACGTTGACGGTTCAGGAAAATTATTTTTAGATCTATTATTTGGTTAAATTTTTAAGTATTTCAGTAAAATCATTTTTTCCGTGTATAAAGAGGATAGTCTCTCATTTTCAAAAAAAAGTAATTGGTTAGTTTTTTAAATGCTTATAATATAATTATTAAGTTACATGAATTATATAATTTCCAGAGAGATTAATTTAACTTTGTGTTATTTTTGCGTAAAGAATGTGTTTTTATATTACTACGTAATAAATGGCAAAAATAAAAGTTATCACAAATTGTTATTATCTAAAAGACTACAATGCGTGTTGAACAAAATAGATATACGTTCAAAAATCTTGTTTCTCTAGTGAATCCGGTCTTTTAAAAAATGTCTCATTCGAATTTAAATAAGTAACGTGTGGATACTTGCACATAAAGCTCGTTCTAAATGAAATTGGCATTTTTCTTTTACCATCGACTATGTGGACCCGTACGCTGTCAGGATGAGTATTATTGGGTGAACACGTGTAAAGACCGGAGTCTGTTCTGATCGCCTTCTGAATGAGTAAACGGCTCGAAGTTACGGGTCCCTTTTCCGTTACCAGGCTGATGCCACCCCTCGGTGAGTCGAAGTTAATCGCCTGCGGAAAAAGGATATAAAAAGCATGTCGGGTTACTTGCCTCTGACGTGACCAAGTACGGATGGGGCCACTCTGCGGGAAAGGAAGAAGCAGGAAGTGTCGACGGAACGTGTTCCCTGCAATGACAGAAATCCTTTTTCCTAGGATTTTTTCTAGACGTTACACATTCATTTCCTGACTTCGCTGTCCGACATAAAATAC